TTAAAACCAAGGAACTTTCAAGGTTGATCCGCACACGGGTAGTACTGTCATTGAACCAACTTCCGCTCTGCCGTTCACATTTCTTTCTTAAAAAAACACCTTCGTGTGTGTTACTCTTCCTATCTTTAATATAGGACTCGATTTTTGAATTAATTTTAATTTTAAATATAAGACTTATTTATTATATTTATCAATTTTTTTTAAATTACTCCTATGGATACTCCCTCAACTATAATCAAGTAGAAGAGGGAGGTAGAGTATTAAGAAAGATAATTATGGTATTTTAGAAAAAATGTGTCATTTTTCTTACAATTAACCAACTTAATTAATTTTTCTAATCTAATCAAATTAGTTAAATGAGTCTTATATTACGAATAAGAGGAGTATAATTTATTGGAAAAAATGTTTACTAAAAATAGAGTTTTGATACGCGTTTTTGGGAAGTGTTTTTCAACACGTGTCTTTCTCTCTTGGCAGCATGAGAGGAGGGCCCACGAGCGAGCCAATGATGATGGTTTTTGAATTTGCGTTCATCTTTAATAAATGAGGAGGATACGGCAGGACACGCGGCGCAGGATAAGGTTCCCTCAGCTCCTTGGTGAATGCCACGTCATCCCCATGGGCACGAGTAGCCTTATCTCTCTCCTAAATCTCCCCCTTCCCTCCCTCACATACTAACAACTCACCGCGCCCACGTGCAATCCCACACTTGTCTCTAATTATTCCTGCCACGTGTCCCAGACACCGGTTCTAAGCGTTTTTCTTCGTCGTACCCATTAATCCCCGATACTAAACGAATGCCTAACACTCTTTTTTAAAATTTATTTTAACTATTAAAACCCCTCTTCTTTTCTCAATACTCACAATAATTTTGCTGTAAAAATTGTTTATTTTTTAGAGACTTTAAGTTAAAAAAAATGTTATTTGAATTTTTTTCTGAAAAAAATTGAAAAATACTCTTAGAATGGGCAGAAAACTAGTTCGATAACAAACTAATGGATATGTAAATAATACTACCTCCGGTCCTAATTATAAGACCCCGTTGACTAATTTGAGGAGATTAAGGAAAGAAGTTAAGTTAGTTATTTGTAATAAATAGGTATTGTCTTTCCTAAAATATCCTTACTAATCAACTATATTGGCTAGGACTACAATTATTAGAAGGATTATCTTGAAAAAAATATATAAATATGAGAGACAAAATGAATTGGAGTCTTATATTTAGGACCAAAATAAAAATCAAATAGGGTCTTATATTAAGGACCGGAGGTAATATTTACATGATCTTGGAAAATTCATAAAAAGTCAATTTCAAATGTAAACTTCGAAAAAAAAAAATACTGTATGTGATTTTACACCAGCAAGAAAGAGTGACAAAAACTATATCCAAAAAAAAGAAGGAAAGAATGGCATAAAAATATGACATGACAAAATATAGCGTGTTGGGTCATGAATGGTAAGGCTATTCACGGGACGGATCGGGACCGGGACAGGCCTGTCCCGGTTCCTTCCCGGTGAACAGTAACAGGACAGATTTTCTGTCCCGTGTCCCGGTCCGTCCCGGACATTTTTTTTAAATTTGTTTTTTAAATTTTTTTAAATTTTTTTTAATAAAATCTGAATTTTTTAATTATATTTTTTGGGCTTAAACCTTATAAAAAACATCTTTTTATTTTTTTATTTGTTTGGGCACTCTTAAACAAAAGCTCAAAATATTACATATAATAATCATTAAAAACTCTAAACAAAAGCTTTTAACACAATAAAAACTTGCTAAAAATTCTAATAATCAATAATCTCAAATCATTAACAAATATAAAAACTCTAAATAAATATATCTATAGTTCCATACAATAGTCTCAAATCTTAAAAAAACATGAAAAAAATGATATTATATAAATAGAATAAAAAATTAAAAAAATTAAAAAAAAAAGGACCGGGACGGGACTGCCCCGTCCCGTGTCCCGTCCCGTCCCGGTCCCCTTTTTTGTCCTGTCCCGGTTTGTCCCGTCCCGAAAAATTTCGGGACGGATCCGTCCCGTCCCAATAAGACCGGGACCGGAACGGGCCGACCGGGACGGGCCGACCTTGAACACCCATAATGAATGGAAATGAAAAATTGTTTGATTATTTAGAATTAAAAAAACTGTACATATAAATTTAAATTCATAAACTCAATATCTTTTTTTTTTGGCTAAGTTTGGATAACTGTATTTTAAATTTAAAAATAGGTTAAAATCGCTAAAAATAAAACTGTACTATCATCAGCAATAGATGAGCATTTCAAAAACAAAGTTAGTGGCTGAATAAACAATAGGCAAATATGTTTTTGTCCAGCTTTTATTAAAAACACTGATTTAGATATATAAAATAACTCATTTGAAAGTCCCGTGAGCACGAAAAGGAAACTTTGGAAGTTTTTTTTGGCCATCTTTAAAAGTGTTTGTGCTATAAGAATTACTGCAAAACAAAATTTAAGTAGTTTGCGATTTAATATGGGAGAATTATAATAAATTCTCATAAAAATAATTACTAAATTTTTTTAATAATAAATAAAAATTATTATTTTTATTTAAAATTTGTCATTACAAATTGTTTAATTGTAATTAAAACTTTATACCACGAGTAATTAGGGACTTGCTGAAAGACCATTTCAACGAGACGGGGTTGGGCCCCACACGCGGACGGAAGGCAATCATCTTCCGTCGAGGCAGGGCTTATGTTTTCCTTTCCTTACCATACTTCACACCTGACAACGGTCCATTTCTTCCGCCTACTGTAATTTCCACTTCCATCAATATCTGCATTATATTGCTCTGCGCAGAATATTAAAAATATCCTTTTTAAAATTAAGAAATTAATCAATATACCTAAAAAATGATCCCAGTATTCACACTTTTATTATTTTTAATCAAATCATGATACTTATAGAAATAACCTCTCAAAAAATCATGAAATGTTAAGTCAGAAAATTATGAAAAGGGCTTTATAATAAATATCTAAATTGTTTAAGAAGTAAAAACAACGCTGTTGTAATTCAATTTTTTTCGCCGTTGTGATTCACGTTTCTCTAACTTTCCACACTTTTCGTCCCTTTTTTTTTTTTTGTTTTTCCTGTTTTGTTGTGTAGTTTAAGGGACACCGTCATGGGTTGTCAACACTTAACAGCAAAGACAGCGAATGAAACAAGCAACCTCCATAGTATTTCTTTGTATTTCGTTCCCGTGTTTCACGCTTCTTCCTCCCACGCCCACATCACCCTCAACCCAGCATTTCAGTGTATATTTCTTCCGTCAATAAAATGGAAATATTTTATGAAACTGACTTGTGTTGTGCTAGTATATCGGCAATAGGTCTGGTTATGAGAAACAGACGATAAACCGTGTAAACGTGACAGCACATTTTTGAGAGAAGGGGGTTCTTTTGTGAGCGAAGGCTTTTTTCTAAATATAAAAACTAATTGATTAATTTAAATAGATTAAAAAATAAATTAAATTAATTATTTATAATAAACATGTATTGTCTTTCTTAAAATATCCTTACTAATCAAGTGTATTAGTTAGAACAGTAGAACTATTATTATTAGAAAAATTATCTTTAAAAAAAATAGATATATATAACAGACAAAATAGATTATGGTCTTATATTTATGATCAAAATAAAAGTTAAACAAGATCTTATATTAAGAATTGAAAGTAGAATTAAATATTACTATTAGTTTAAAAAAAAACGCACCCTAAAATATTTACCCCTGTGCTGTCCAATGAGGAGTTTGGACACTCGGACGCCGCAATTAATTACCAAACTACTCGGAACAAGAACTTCAATTTGTTTGTTAGTGCTATCTCGGGCAAGGCTAGGAGAGAGGGATGTCCATTTTGTATGAAAACTGACATCAACGTAATTAAATTTTAGCTGACGCGTGTAGCTAACATAACTAATTAAATACATGAGATGTTTTGCATAAATTGCTTGTCTATTACTTGTACCTTGAATTAAAAATTATATACAATTACCCAAGCAGCCAACGTTCCATGTCACCATTATTATCAATTTAAAAACTGACTCATATTGACTGCATGGATTAAATTTCAAAATCACGTTATTATCTCTAATTAAGTTTAAGGAGCTGATAAAATCTTTAAAAGTTATTCTCATTAGTTATGAAAATCTGTAATTAATTTCTGTTGTGCCAATTTTATTCATTGCATGTATTAACAATAGAACCAAAACAAATGCTGGCAAAAAATATCATCAAAACTAATTACTTTTTTATTTTAATTAATTATTCAATACATATATTAAACTTTATTTGTTATGCATAGACAGAAAGCTGATTTTTCGTACATGTGGATCAATACATGACCAAATATCATAGGCTAATGCACCTGAAACCAAAAGGCACGGGTCACAACTAGAATATAATATTTCCGTGGCACTAATGGCATGAATCAGTAGCACAAAATAAGTGAGTGGAAGCAGAGCAATTATGCTGCCCGCCCTGGCGTAACAGTTCCAAAAGCCGGTGATAAGAGCATGACTTTATTGGCATGCAGGGTTACGTCAACCATTTTGATAACCATGTTCAATAATTATTACGCTTGTTTAATTAATTGTTATGCAACAACATATGTTTATTTCTAGCTGAGCCCGTGAAATTAAAAAGAAAAGCTTTGGTATATACCAAGCATGCAAGCAAAAGCACAAGGTTGGTTTTCGGTTGAGCCATGAAATTTGGACTTTTTTTTTTGACGGGCCATAATAATTCGGATTATTTTTAAAAGTTATCTTATTGGATGAAGCAGAGGGGAAAAATACGATTAATGGTGTAATTTTCATCTTTTTTTAATTTACCCCGATAGTCTCAGAAGATGCAAATTCCAGACCCAGCGCATCACATGAAAGAGCGACCGAATCTATTCGAAGTTGGAACGAGGCGTGCGCGCGCTTCGTAGCAGAGCCCACCTCTCCCCCATATCTCTCTATATCTAATATCTGTATCTCACCACATTCAGTACCTACTTTATTCATATATCACCTCCGCCCTTTTCATCCTCTCAGTTTTTTATTTATTATTATTATTATTATTTCATTTTCAACACAATACGATCCCACTCGCCCTCTCCCTCCCTCTACGTTTCTGGAACAGTACTTTTCCAATTTTTTATCATAACAAATGCGTTTGCCTGTATACGCATTTTCTGTGAGGGCGTGGTTTTGAAGAGCCAGTATTTCTGGATTTGTCAAGCCCCCGGTATTCGTCGTAGAGAGCAGCAAAGATAAACAGAAGTGGAGTAGATAGACATACTATTCCTCCTCGTTTTTGGCCTTCCCCTGAATTATCGCCCCTTTCTTTCCTTTTCTATTTTCGCTCCCCAACAACAAATTAAAATTTATTACCTTTCCTGAAGGTCTTGGCTAACTCACAATCTGATAAAACGCGACGATTCTTGTTTCCGTGTTGGTTTCTGTTCATTCTCATACCTTTTTTTGGATCCTCCCATTCCACGTATACCCCTATTTGTCTGCCCGAGATTGACGATAATCTCGTCCGCATTTTCTTCGAGGATAGAAATTTACAAGTGCTAACTCTCCAATTGTTAATTTTCGGGAATCCCTTGTTTGCGTCGGATCACTGTAAAAAAATTTAGCTCCGAGCTACCATCTGAGTCTGATTTCTGGGCAGCATCAATATCAGCTTCAGCTGCTTCTTTGCTATTGAGATGCCATATCCTTATCGCTTGAGAATCCTCTGTTTTATCTGCCATTGATTGCCCTCTGTAAAATCGATTCTTTTGATCTGGCTTTCTTACAATTGATCGGTATTGTGGGCTTTCTTTCGTGAAAATGAAGTCCCGGTCCTTAGATTACTGGAGGAGTTACTTTCGAACCGCGAACTCCGATATATTTGATATTATAGACCATGCGATCATGGTGGCCGCCTCTGATTGTCCAAAGGAGTTTCGATTGCGAAGAGATAGAATCGCGGAACGGTTGTTTTCTTGTCGGATGACTCGTTGTTTGGGTTGTGAGCGAGTGGAGTTGGCGGTGTCCGGTGTCGACCAGGAGTACGATGGAGGTTGCAAGAGTGGTTTTGATAGAGACGGAGCTGAGGTGGAAGCAGGTGCAAGTAAAGAGAGCAAGGCCCATAGTAGCAGAGATGACCGTGGAGACATGAACATGAATCACGTTAGCAATTTTAGCTACGGAGAAGCTGAAGCATTGACGGATGAGATTGAAGAAGAGTCTCAACTGGTTGGTGAGACTTTGAGAATCAAGGAAATTCTACATAACTGCGAAGAAGAGGTATGGTCTTCTCAGTTCTTTCCTACAAAATGCTCTGGCTGTCAGCTTTTAGATTATTCTTCCCTTGTTCTCTTTTCTTCCTCTTTTTTATTTCATCAGCTTTTAATCGTATGCTTCAGTTCATGCTTCTTGATTTTGCAATTTGATTGGAGATTAGGTTCCTGACTTTGGGCAGCGACAATTTTAAATGCATCTGGTTCTTTGGAAGACTTTTGAATCCTCTGGTCACTCATTCATGTTGTTTTGTTCAATGTTGCAACAGTCTGATTCGGAAATATTCGAGTCGTTGAGGAGGCTACAGCTGATGGAACTGACAGTGGATCTTCTAAAGGTTTGAGTTAAATCATCTCTTGTCATTCAAAGTGTCCGTCATGGCCTTTTCATTTCTATTCTTGTTTTTCTGGGAAAATCTTTTGACGGATTTAACCTTTTCAGGCGACTGAAATTGGAAAGGCTGTCAATCCTTTCCGGAAGCATGGATCAATGGAGATTCGTCAGCTTGCACGGACTCTTATTGAGTATGTTTTAGTTTCTCCCGGATGCTTATTTGCCATGAATATATCTTAAGCTTGTCTTAGGGAGAAAAATGAGCCTGTTTGTTGTCTGTTACATGTTATGTATTATTGGGCACATCTTTCGTTGCCATTGTTCCTTGTTGACTGCTTATTTCTTGTGAAAACCTAACTTTTGATCAGTGTATTAGACGTCAGTCGTGTGATTTTTTCTGAACATGAATGATTTATGAGGTTCTGCATTTGTGGTTTCTGATTTAACTGCTTACTTGCAAAATGGATCGAAAATATTGGCATTTTAAACGGAATTTTTTGAATTGCAGTGGCTGGAAAGAAATGGTGGATGAGTGGGTCAATGCAACCACAACAAATGCAGGTATGATTATGTTTCCCGCCTTCATTTGGTAGCCATAAGGTTAATCCTGCTGTTTCTTCTCCTTTCTAATAATGTACTGTTAATGTTTGTAATTGATTGTGGATTTTCTTATAATTATCTGTAGGTTCTGAAGGTACCCCAGATTCAGTAAATCCATCTGTTGTTGATGAAGAGGAGGAGGAAGGCCTTCCATCACCTCCTATGGATGAAGGGGCTTTCTTTGCAGCTCAAACTGCATCAATGGAGTTATCACAGGTACTGACCTCTTCTTTTGCCGTTTGTCCTATATCTTTTGTGCAGTATTTGATGGTTAGAAACTGACTTCGATATTCATGGCTGGATGTCATTGCTGGATGGTTCAAAGTTCTTTGATGGCATGGATGATGATGGAAGTGAGTTGAATTTGCAACTTTTACTCTTAGCTCGCTTTTGCTCTTCGGTTCTTTATTTGAATTCCCCACTTCTTTGATTCATGATCATGAATGGGGAATGTTGTTTCAGATCCTCGACAGAGTGGGGAATTCATCAAGAACCGGGAAAATGGCAGAAGACCAGCTCTGGACAATCAAAACATAGTAAAGAGGAAACCGCAGGCTTCTGATGGGGCGGAAGCCATGGTCAGAGATAGCAGGAATCAGCAAGCAAAGAAAAACGAGGCTGTTGCGAAGCTAAATAAATCAGCAACTGTTGGTTCTGGTCCTGGCAGACCATTAAAATCTAGCATGCAACGAAGAGAGAATATGGAGCCAAGGATGTTGCAAAAGATGGACAGGAGTGGAGTCCCCAAGAGGCCACTTGCTGGTCCGCAAGATGTAAGGGAGAATCTCTGCCTGAGTGTGTCAAATTTTTTAGATTTTTTAAGTTTTGTCTTACATTCATGTCTTCTCTATCAGAAGTCGAAGTGTGCAGATGATACTTCAGTCCAAATGAAGCTAGAAGCTACCAAGAGGAAACTTCAGGAGAGTTATCAACAAGCCGAAATTGGTTTGTTAGACTCCCTAGAAATCTCGTCTGCAATTTTGTCTAACTTTGCTTTCAAGTTAATTGTGATGTGGGCTTTAAAACTTAAATGACGAGCCTCGTGTTTCATTGTTTACTTGCAGCCAAGAAGCAGCGAACAATCCAGGTTATGGAGTTGCATGATCTCCCCAAGCAAGGAGGGATTGGCCACAGAGCTACACATTTCAAACCTATGAAGCACCAAAACAGGAATTGGGCCCAGGGACGAAGGTAGAGCTTCATTGTGTGCCAAGTCCTTTCGACCCTTCCTTTTAAAGTTGATGGTGGAAGAGCAATAACTGGCTAGGCCATCCTATGGACTGAAGCCGGATCTGCCTGGCCGTTAAAAGGAACACATTCACAATTGTTACTTGGTTCGAGCTGTTTTGATTGAGAGGGAAGTAAACTCTGAAACACTGTTTATTTCCTTAGTTAAAGACCCGTAGTATACATACAAATCAATTTGTTTATCCAATAGGTAACTTTGGCGCTCAACTGACATGGTTTAAAATCATTGTCTATAATATAAATCCCATTTTTTTCCCCGACTCTGATGTAGTAGACTCACGCAATGACTAGAACATTTTAGGGCGGCTTATGCGGGCAGAATTTGATTACATTCCATATGGGTGGATTGAAACAGATCTGGGAATAGGCATCTGAATAGAATATAGAATGTATCTAATACTCTGGGGTAGAGATGCGAAAGGAAGATTGATGCCTTGTTCGTTTTGTGAAATACTCGTATCAATTATCATGGACGGGGGGGAGTGAGTGATGACGAATGCAGTGATGAGATAGAGTTGAATAAATATTTCATGTGGGAGCACGTGTCTGTATTTGTAAATTTGGTGACATGCCTTTTGGGGTCGGCTTGACTCATTTCCTCTCATTCTCTGTTTAATGGGACTCTTTCTTAGGCGTGGCTGAGTCACGAGCTCAGAATTCCACGATACCCAATCCGTTTTGACCAAACCCTCCTTCTCATTAATGCAAGCCGCAAAGTTTGTTCCGCAATTCCTCCCCCTAATTTGACTTTTATATTTATTTGTGAATATTAATATTAATCTAACTGATAAATATGTTTTGGAATTGGAATATCGATTTTCCTCTTGACCGCCAGCTGAAGTCCGCGTGTCTCAACTACTCGGCAAAAAAACATGTGCATGAATAGCTTATGAGCATTATATAAATTAATTTATTTTCATTATAAAATATTGCTTTTGTACATAAAAGAGAACCAGAAATACCTAGAGTCGTTACTCTTCCATCAAGTCGTACTTTGACCGTCATCTCGTGTTTGGGAGTAACTTGTTTTTCCTTCGGCCTTGGGTTTCCTTTTTCATGAGTGATTTGAAATTCAACTTTACATGAAAGATGAAACCGCCTTGTTGAATTCATGAATCGATCCCACGTCCAGAACAATGGAATTGGTCTAACTTCAGACCCGCCACTTGGCTTTATGAATCACGGTTTTATTATGATTCATCTCTACCCAAAACCTTATAGAAAAGAAATGGAATAAAAATAAAGTAAAATTTATTTCAAAAACAAAATAATGTTTGATATTTTTTTATTTTACATGAAAAATCATATGAGCAGTCAAACGCGACCATATTCTGAGGCAATCTTTTTGGCTGTTTTTTCAAGACAAGATTCTGGATATCGTATTCCATGAATATAACCGTGTAATCTGTTAAAGCATTGAGATGCGTAGCGTGGCTGCTGCAATTTTATTCAATGAGTTTTGTGTGGGTGTGAGCCCAGCAGAGTCCCTTTCTGAAAGCGGGAGGGACCACGTCTGCAAGTTGATCCACCAGCACAAATCCTTCCATGTTTGAAAGTAGGGGGGGGGGGGGGGAAGGGAAGTCACTTTCCGCGGCAATTCCCTTCTTGGCGGTGAGGTGTTTACTTGAGCACAAATGAACCATGATATGAGGATAAAGACTCAAAAAGATTAAGTGATCTTATCCTTCCGTCACAAACAGATCATATACTACCTCCGGTCCTTAATATAAGACTCTGTTTGACTTTTATTTTGCTTCTAAATATAAGACCCCAATCTACTTTGTCTCTCACATTTATACATTTTTTTCTAAGGTAGTCATTCTAATAATTGTAGTTCTAACCAATATAGTTGATTAGTAAGGATATTTTAGGAAAGACAATACCTATTTATTACAAATAACTAACTTAACTTCTTTCCTTAATCTCCTCAAATTAGTCAACTGGGTCTTATAATTAGGAACGGAGGTAGTATTACTTTGCCTTTCTTTCAAGTTATTCAATATGCTCCACAAGCATTGACCTAAGCCATAATTAGCAATAATCGCTTGCATGAATACATGGGAGCTACCACTGCGATTCCAAATGGGAAGTAAAAACAGGGCTTTTTGTGGTTAAAGAAAACAGATAAGGAACTTGGAAAGACAAAAAAAGGTTGAGGAAAGTGGGAGAAAATGAGACGGAAAGATGCCACCTAACTAGGCTGTCGTGGTGTTTACCTAATTAAACAGCTCTCAAACCACATGTGTAGATACACGGGAGTGTCTTGTTTTCCTTGCTTTCGTTAGTTGTCGCCTCCTCGTTAACGTCGCACCTCACACGTTTCTCAGTTAAATCCATGCATCTCAAGTATTTGCTTACCTTCATTACCTCGTTCGCAAGAAACCGTTATATCTCATGGCCCCGTTTGTTGTATTCTTTTAAGCCTTAAAACCATTTTTACCCCGACAAGGCGGCAGCCAATTGAAATTGACCAAGAAACTGCTCAATGAAAGAAAGAGGAACAACAATTAAAACCTCATCGAAAAAGTTAATACAAATTAGGATTTTTAAAAAATATTTTCAGTGTTCAAATATAAACAAATTACTCATGCTTTGATGGTTAATGCGGTCCTGACTTAGTATTGACCTTTTTATGAGATTCTTAGCTGCTATTTTCCCTACAAAGGACAAGTTATGGGCAGACAGCTACTTAGTAATAATTTAATAAAACTTCTGTGCGCTACGCATTTTAAAAAATAAGTCATGTTGCTTGTAATTTATGTAGTACGAGCACGACTTGCTGAAGTTTTTTGTATTATACATATTACACAGATTCTCCTCAAGTGAAGGAAAAACGTTGTCTTTATAGTCTATCGTCTTAAATTTGCAAGACTAACGAAGATTATACATTTCATGCACTATATACTACCGCCGGTTCTTAATATAAGATTTTATTTGACTTTTATTTTGATCCTAAATATAAAATCATAATCCACTTTGTCTCTCATATTTATGTATTTTTTTTCAAGATAGTCATTCTAATAACGGTAGTTTTAGCCAATACACTTGATTAGTAAGGATATTTTAAGAAAGATAACACATATTTATTACAAATAATTAATTTAATTTTTTTAATTTATTTAAATTAGTCAACTAGCTTTTATATTTAGAACCAGAGGTAATTTTTATTTAATGTTAAATAAAATCAGTTTATTGCTGGGCAGCTCCATCGAGAGGAGATATCATGCTGTCAATGAACGATGAAATGAAGTATTAGGTGATGATTTTGGATACAGGACTATAATTTTTTAAGGTAGTAAATAATGAAGGTGCTTTTATTAATTAGTTAAAATTTTATAGTCCAATTATTAAATTATTTTAAAATATAAAAATACTTAGTCTAAATAAATGCATAATAATTCAGTATTACAAGAGTAAATATTTCAATTCTTACTCTGTTATATTTGGAATCTAATAATAAAGACACGCAATATCTTTTAAATATCCGGCCGTGAGGTGGCTGGCCCAAATTTTAAGAAACGTTTTTGTATGTTATCCGATCTTATCACGAGATACACTGGGAGAAAAATATCTTCTCGTTTTTTTTTGGGGGGGGGGGGGGGTTAACTAATGCGGAGCAGCGGAGGCAATCAAATCCTGAACATGTTGACTGGGGGTAAAGCAGGCGGGCCCCATCCCTCACGCTAAGACGAGTTTGAGACAAGACGCCCTTATACGTCGCTTACATCGCGACGTTCGCTTTTTTCTGCATCACACATACCGGATTTTGTGGGCATATTTGGTTTCTATTTTAAAAAAAAAAATTAAAATTTTTTTTACCTGAACAATTTAAAATTTTATCAATGGTTGAATTTGAGGGAAAGAGTTAATTCCTTATAATATAGTGAATTAATGTTTAAATTTTATTAAAAAAGATACCCACATTTAGTATATGATAATGCTTTAAATATAATTGTCTTTAATGAGAAATAACTGTGCTTGGAAATTTTTTCTTTTTTTGAAGATATTTCCAAAGTCAAAAGTTATTTGAGTAATTTTTTACTTGACAAAATTCATATAAGTGCTTCTAAAGTTCCATTAGTCAAAAAAGATTAATTTGAATTGCGTTTGAAATTTTATTTTTGATTTGATTTTTGAACGAATTTCAATTACTTTTTAATTGTTATCCGAATTGATTGCCTCGAGTCATGCTTGATCTATGGTTGTTTACTTTTATTGTCATTATTATATGATTTTAATCTTCGAATTATTTGTTAAAGGTAGGCTTCATTATAAACGTTAGAGAATTTAATATTTATTTGACAGTTAGACAGAATGCACAGAATTTTTGGTGGCTGGAATAAAGAAGATAATAAATGGTCATATTTTTAGATTTGGATGTTTATTGTTTTGGATTTACCAATAGATTCAGAGAGATCGGCCTTTTGCAAGATATCAAATCTGAGTGATAAAGTCAGATCAAAAAATCTGAGCGATAAAGTAGAACGTAAGTGCCCTTTTTCCTGTTGTACTCCATTCCCAGTCAACTTTGATGCTTGCTCGGATTGCAGTTAAAGCGAGAGGTGTTTGGTAAGCCTATTAAAACATTTTAAACCAGTACTTTATATAAATTGAGATACATTTTTTTCTCACGTAATTATATCGCATGCCATAAAACTGAATCCAAAAACCCACTTGCGTACGCCACAGCCAATGCGCTGCAAATAACAGCTTTATAACTATAAATTGTTAATTATGGTTTCTAGACCCCCATCGGTCAGTCTATATAAATTCTACAAGCTAAGACTGCATACGGGCAGGGCTAGATAGGACAGGATTTTTACTGATGCCCAATCCAAAAAATAAACGGGCTGAAAAATACAACCTATTATCTAATCCTATCCATAAAAAGTCCTAGTAAGTTCGGGCTAAACAAATGCGGGCTGGGAAGAGTGGGTTTTCATGTCCAAGGAATCAATATACTATATTAATTAACTAGTTATTTATGTTCTTCTAAATAATCTGATGTAACTTTATATTAAAATGACAACTTAACCTTAATTTAGTTATTACTCATTAATATACTATAAAACTACATTTTATAATAGCTAGGAGGAGTGAACTATGACAAACAAAAATGTTGTTACTATATTTTATTAAATTTAATTGCTGTTCTAATTTCTAAAATTTCTTAACCAAATTATGAATATTTTTTTTCATAACTCCCAAATACTCATAAGATGACGGACCAATTATACAAATCGCCAATGGTCATAATGTT